ATTTATATTTATTTATTTACAGTCAAGACACTTTTGTGAAATTCAGTTCTATCAAGTCTCAAAATTAATTGATAAAGAAGCATTGCACGTTCATCTTCTGCTAACTTTAAATAAAAATTTTTTTTAATATTTTTTGAGTCCACCCTTGAAGACCTACACCCTTAATGCCGAATTACTCTGAAGACCTACAACTTCTTGATCAACACAGTTTTTATTTTTTTATTTCTTTACAAGTTTAGTTGGGAGATTAAAAAGGCAAAGGGGGACTTGGAAGGATTAACGGTGATATCGATGCATCTGGAGGGATTTTCCACCTTTGATCTCTCAGACCCACCGAGTAAAATTCTAAAGTAATATGTAAGAGATAAAAAATGCGAGTTGATCAAAAAGTTGCAGGTCTTCAGGGTTGACCTCATTTTTTAAATAAAATAAAAATTATTTAAAAAATTTTCCAACTAAAACCCCATAATTTTATCCAAATAAATTTCCATTAATTTTCTTTTCTACAAAATTCTTTCGATTTTTATCCCTCCCTCCACTTTCCTCAATTAAAAATCCTTTTTTACCTTTTTCGATGCAAATTTCTGTTCTCTATTATTATTAGCCATTCCATTAATTTTATTACAATTTTGTCTATTATTATTATATTCTTTATTTACTAAAGCTAATAAACAAAGACATTCATCCAACATTGTAGTTAACATTTGCCTTCTTTTTGCTCCAATTTCAACGTGAGATTTTCGAACTTCAGAGCTAATACAGCAAAGCTGTTCAACTAAAAATTAAAATTTTCTTCCCCAAAAACCCCCCAAAAATAACCATTTGAAGGAGTAGAAGATGTTGTAGTGTTTGTATTTGTTGTTGAAGTTGAAGGGGATGAAGAAGAAGACGAGGGAGATGGTGAACAAAAAAGTAAATCGAAACTTTGTGCTGCCAATTCCACTAAATGAGATATTGTTCTTCCTTCGTCTAATCGAATTAAATAACTCTGAAATGATTAAAAAATTTAAATAAATTATACAATAATTAAAATAAAATATATTCCCAAAGGTTAAAATCTGTGTATTTAAATATAAGGGGAAAGAGGAAAATATTAGCTAATATTCTCATCCTTTTTTTATTTTTTAATTAAAAAATAAAAAAATTTACTCTAGATTGTTCATTCAAAGCACAAACATTTCTCAAAAAGCCCAAAGAATTAACAATATTCCTCCAAAAAGTATCCACTGCATTTGCAGAAATACAACCCCCAGGTTTAGTTGTTTGGGGTATTGGGGGAGGAAGAGTACCCCGAATAGCTAAATGGACTGCTCTGTCCAACTCCATACAAGCCAATTGTGGAATGTCGCTGACTAATTTTAAAGTAAGCAATGCTGGATATAAATCGTCTGACGAGGGTTGGACAGCGTCTATTCGAGTAACTATTAACTGAAAAAGAAGAAGAAAATTTGGAAATTATTTTAAATTTGTGAAGGAAGTAAAGGAAAACCAGGCATGGTCATGGATACGGATACAGATAATATCAAAATGCCTGCGGATATCCGCCTGTATCCGTCTGTATCCGCCGTAAATATGCGGATACGGATACAAAGATTAGTATCCGTGACCATGCCTGAGGAAAACAATTCAACAAAAAAAGAAATACAAACATCAATCCCCGCCAGCCGAACAAAATGTTCGGCAAATATTTGTTGTTTAGAATCAATTAATGTTGTTAAAGTACGTAATGCTTGCCGTAGAAGACGAAGATTTTGATTTTCAGAAATTATTTTAAGAATTAATTCTAATCCACGCTGGTCGAGAACAAATTTCTAAAAATAACACAAATTTTTTAAAAATTTATTTTCATCTAAAAACCCCTTTAAAATTAAAAATAAATCCATAATAAAATGATATTTTTTTAGAAACTTTATTTTCTTTTTCTCTCTCTCTCCCATACAAATAAAAATCTCTCTTTTTTACCTTTAATTGTTCATTTGCATGCATTAAAACTCTTAAAATTCCCATAGAAAAGAATTTAATGTTTGAGCTTTGAATTAACAAAAATTGAAGTAAAGAAGCCATCATTTGTTCGGTTCTAGCTTCGCTTTTGTCGGGAATTTCAGAAAGTGTATTGTAAAAAATTCTTAATAAATGGGTTATTCTTTGGGTTAAATTTGGAGAGGAAATAGAAGAAGAATAATTCCCGTTTAATTGTTGTAGATATGTTGCATTTCGAATTATTAATTCAACAAAAAGACGCAAAATTTGGATTGGTTGTTCTCTAACTACCTTTAAAAAACACAAAAAATTATTTTAGAAGAGGCAATGAGTAATATTTTTATTTCTTCAAAAAATTTTGGAGTAATTAATTCTTGCTAGTTAATTTAAATATTTTCCACTCCCTTCTAAAAAATAAATTTCTATCAACTTACAGCTACATAATGTTGAGATGAAGAAATTGAAGCCAAATTATCCAGTAAAGAATTAATCATCTATTCAAAAATAATTTTTAAAAAGAATTATTTCAAAAACTTGCCTTATCATCCCTAGCCGTAGCCAGTCTTGTAAGCAATAAACTAAAAAACAAAAAATATTTATTTAAAATTAATTTCTATATACCTTATAATTTCCCGAAAATCCTTCAAATCGCTATTCATTAGCAACCCTTTTTTATTCACAGCTTCAAAAAATAATTTTAAAACTTTTAAAGATCTGTTAAAAATATCCTAAAAAATTAAAGAATTTTTTTAATTAAAAAATATTCTTTCACCGTATCCTGTCCAGAGAAAATAGTCTTAAAATTTTCCAAATATTTACTAGCCGTTGGGGCTTCGAAACTTTCAGTTTTTATAATTCTTGAATTGTTGCTCAAATGAGAATTTAAAGTAAGAGTGCTTGTGTTGTCGGTAAATAAACTAATCCCAGAAATATCCCCAATTGAAGGAGCCTGGAAAGCAAAACAGAAAAAAATAATTAAAAAAAAACAGGTGAGAAAGGGTAATTAATGAGTAGTTTGGATAGCCAAAAAAAGAAAGAGAAGGGTAATTTCCAAAATTAGAATTAAAAATAATTATTTTGATTTTTGGAAAAAAATAAAAAATTAAAACACAAAAATAACAAAAAAAAAAGAAAACACAACCGAAAATATTAATCAAAACAGAAAAAGGAAAATTAAAAATAAAATTAGAAGTTTACTTACATTTGAAGGCAAAGGACTCGTATACGGACTTGTATCATTATGTCTAAACCATTGCTGCATTCTTTGTACATCAGCTGTTGATGGGGAATTAGTATTTGTTATTGTATTATTATTACAACCATTTAAAGGTACTGAACCATAAAAAGAATGTGGGGATTGTTGTAAGGGATTTTGTTGATTTGTGGAAAGAATTCTGTGAAAATTAAAATTAATTTTTTAAAAAAATTTGAAAAAATATATTTACAGATTAGCCATTTGCATAGCATGGGCATCTGCTATTGTTGCAATAGATTGTTGTTCTAAATTACCATTAAACATTATTTTTATTAATTTAAATTTTATATTTTATTTTCTGTAAAAGTAAAAAGGAAATAAAATATTTTATAAAATTATGTATTTATTGTTAGTATATTAACTAATACACAGTAAAATATTAATTATTATTTTGTTGCAAAATTAAAAAAAAATTTATTTATTTTGCCGAAAAAGTTAATTAATAAAATTAAATTAAAGAACGTGGCAAAATTAATGTATGTATGTATATGTTATTTAAAGGAGATTTATTGACTTTAAAAACAAAAAAAACATTTTAAATAAAATCTGGAATTTAATGTTTTAATAATGGTTCAAATTAAAAATATTAGGAAAATAAAATTTTAAATTAAAAATAAATTTCCATAAGGAGTTCCATTATTCACTAACGACAAAATTTCTACAGATATTATTTTTTGAATTTAGCAACAAAATACATAACTTAACCAGATCCAGTTTATAAATTAGAATCTTGAAAGAATTTAGAATGAGTTAAACTATTTTAAATCGCCAGAGAAAATTATTCAGAGGATAAATAAAAGTAAATTGTTTTTATGTTTAAAATACTAGACATTTTTTATACAAATTTTTAGTTTATAAGACAAACCACAAAATATATTCTCTGATTATTAAAAACAAATAAACAATAAAAAATAACTCTTATGTATTAGTATTAGAAATTGGAAGGAGAATATGTATGTATGTTCATTTATTTACAGAATAATATTCCCATTCAAAAAATTCATTCCCTTTATTATCAAAAAACATTATTAGGGTTGATGAGGAAAGTACATACATCAATTCTTTCCTCTATATTTAATCTTTTCTCTCCTATTTTTGTGCCATCAATTTTTTATTCTTTTGTTCAATAAATTGAACAATCTTAGAGATTTACTCATTTCCTACCCATTTTATTATTTAAATATTTAACTTAAACAAAAAAAATAAAATTCTGGGAAATACTGATAAAATTAATCTGTCTCGTTCAAAATAAAAATTCATAAATTAAATAATTAACATCTTAATAAATTAATAAATTTTTAAAACAAATAAAATAATTATTTGCGTGTGCCCTCTTTTATTGAACAGTTTGGGTGGGAGAGGATAATTTTTGGTAGATTTTGTTTAACTGTTTTTAGAGTAAAGACTACTTAGGAGAGAGACTTTAAGGAAAAAATGGATGAATAAATAAAAAAGTGTTTGCCTGGTAAAGAAGGGGGGGGGGGGTAGGTAAGTAGCCCCTCATCAGAAACAGACACAATTCATTCAATTTTGAATGCGCAAATTGGCGTCGCTTCCGTTCCAGGGAAGAAATGAGGAGAACGGGGGAAAAGGGAAGAAGGAAAAATGTTCTAGGAGAGATTGGCAAGAACAAGAGAATTTTAAATTTTTGTGTATTAGTGGGCTAAAATCGTAAATTCATTCCTCTCTAAAAGAAAACACCTTTAAAAATGAAAAATAATCATTGTTTTATATTTTTTAAAAACAAAATTTAATTTTAATTTTGTCAATTATTTGTCACAATTAAAATAGCAATAAATCCGTGATTGTCTGATGCATCAATAATTAAATTTGGATTTATTGCTAACCGTTCACTATTTACTTCCAACAATGTAGCTTTAAGTCCGGCACGAATTGTATGCTCTCGACTAAAAGTTAATCAAAAATTGGTACTACTGAAGAAAAGGGTGCTTTTTCTGCGGATTTATTTTGCGGACTTTTCCTTTCCTTCTTTTTCCCTTTTTTTTAAAAGATAATGTTTTAGCTTGTAGCAAACTAACTGTCAAAGGATTAATTTTTATTCGCACAAATATTTTTGATTATTTGTTATTTGTGAAATTAAATGAAAAAAACAGTCATCTCCTCCAAATTTCTGTTTCCATACAAACTCATTCATATAACTTTCAAACGTTGTTTCAGCAGTACCAAATTCAGTTTTATGTCGTCTTTTCAATTTTTGCCATAGGCATTCAATATTCTGGGTGTGTATTTTTTTGTTGTCCGAGATCAGTGATCCATTGTTGAAATTCATCATTGGGTAATTTAATTTTATCATACAATTTAGTTAAAGTAAAATTTTTTATTGATTGTAACATTTTTTTCGTTTATAATGTTTAAATTATTTGTGAACGACATTTTTCAGACCGGCATAAAAAATAATCCGTTGACTGTTAGTTGCTATAAGCAAAACATTTAAACAGAAATGAAAAAAATAAAATTAATCTTCTCTGTATCAATGTCTTTTGTTTGAATATGCCACACGGCAAATAGAGGAAAAGAGAAAGAAGAAAATCTGACCATTGTGTACAATCTTAGGTAAGAAAAATAATGGGGGAGGGCCGTTGACAGTTAGTTGCTACAAGTAAAACATGTAAAGGAAAGGAAAAGTCCGCAAAATAAGTCCGCAGAAAAAGCACCCTTTTCTTCAGTAGTACCCAAAAATTTTTTAAAGGAATTTACTAACCCATTAGAATCATTTACAATACAAATTCTAGTATCAGGCATTAATTGAAGACCACCCTGAAAATTATTTATACTTAACAACTTTTTACAACTATTTTTAAAACAATTATTGTCTTCCATACCTTCCAACTTTTTTATTCCAACGAATTACTTGACCACACTGTCTCCTTCCCTATTTCTCCCTTATTTTACCCACAGAACCTCTAGAACTTTTTATGTGACAAAATAAGAGGAACCAATATTTTTCCCTATATTATTGTCAATTTAAAATTTTTTAAAATTCAAATTCATAATTTCACAAAAATACCTTTTTCCCTTTTCCATTAACTTCCATTTTACTTCTATCCAATCCTCCACCATTCTTTTTCTTTCCACAAATATTCCAACTAATTGAAACAATTTTTGTTTCTTCTTTTCTTTTAATTAATTCGTGATCAGAATTTAATGTTAAAATAATCACTCCTGTTGGATGTTTTAAATAACGAATTCCAGGATTATTTTCAATTGTAAAACTTTTGAAAGTACGTTCAATAAATGAAGGGTAAATTGGTGAATTCATTAATTTAATAAAAACTTTTCTATAATAAAAATTTATTAAATTAAAAAAATATTTTTTTAAATTAATAATTAATTAACAGAAAATTAAATAAAAATAATTAATTAATATTATTGAGCAAGAATAAACAAAATATAAAAATGGATTAAATATTTTAATATTTTTTGCTAACCCTTAGAGAAAAAATCAGAAGGGACCAAAAAGTTAAAGTTAGCCATCTAAATTTTGACAGAACCTCCCAACTAAAAAATATTCAAAATAAAGGCCAACTCGAACAAATTTTTTTAAAGATTCTTCACAATTAAATAATTGAGCATTCATTTAAAGTTGAAGAGGCAGGATTATTTTCTGAAGTAATTTCTGGTGGTGGAAGGCCATAATTTTGCATTTCAATCCATAAATTAGCTATTAATGTAGCACGCGCTTCCTTTGCAGATTTTGTTTCTTCATTTACTGTTGAGGTAGAAGGCAACGATTCCTCTTCCGCATAAAGTTGTAAAAGAAGAGTTAAAATCTTTAAAAAAATAAGAAAGTTTAAATCAATATTTTTTTAATTCTTCAAAAGGAGAACTTGGATAACAAATGAAATTAATTAAAAAATAATTGTAAGATTAGAAAAACAAAACTCATTGTCAGCATTTTTTAGAAAATATAAAATACTCAACGACAATAAAAAATTTATTAAAATATTTTTAAAAATACCCTAAATTGTTCGTTGTAATTTCGTAACAATTCTGGATCAAGAGAATCCTTTTTTGTTTCCAAATATATTCCAAACTTTGAGTGCATTTCCTTTAAATTAATAAAAATGTTTATTCAGAAAATTTTTATCTTCTTAATAAATCAAAGAATTATTTAAGTTTTTAAAATTTAAATTAAATTAAAAACCTTTAAAGGAGCATACATAACATCTTTAGAAACAGCTGTTTGAATTAATGATTCCATCAAATCATTTGTACTTCCCTGATTAAAAGACAAATTTGCAAAAGCTTCAACTAATTTTCTATCATCATTCTCCGTTCCATTATTTAATAATAAATCATTAAATACTGATTTTGTATTTTCCCAATTACTACTTCCATTTTTTGAATTCCGAATATTAGAAGATGGTGGATTCACTTGATTTTCTGTTTGCATTTTGTCAGCCATTTGATTTAACATTTCTTTAAATAAAGAATAAATTTAAAATTAATTTTCAAAACCTTCAAATTTTTGTGCAGCTTTTTCTGTTGCTTCATCATCAATTTTTTGCATAAATTCATCCAAATCATCATCTGTTGTCTTTTGTAAAGTTTTAAAGTCTTCTAAAGCATCATCTAGCAAATCTATCAACTCATTTTCTTGACTATTTTCTGTCATTTGAAAATTGGGGCAAATTTATCTAAAAATATATATATTAAACAAAATTTAATTATGTATTTAAATAAGCCTCAAAAATATATCAAAGGACACAAAAATCTCCCTTTTAAATATTTATCAAAGCAATATTCTTTACAATGGTTCTCAAAAAACTACAAAAAACAATAAAAACGGTTTCAAAGTCTCACATAAACAAAATTAAAATGCTCATAAATAACCATTAAATCTAGGATTATTTAAAAAAATAATTTATATTTTAGAATTTATTGACTAGAAAATCTACATTCTAAAAAATTATTTTAATTGCTTATCAAAAATTGCAAAAAAAATTATAAAGGAATATAATATGAACAAGCAGTTAAATATTCAATTGGATCTCTAGGCCCTCCAACTCCTTTCAATATATCCAAAAGCAAATCATTTGTGCGTTTATATTCAGGTCTACTAAATGTTCGAATTTCTTCACCAGATACAATTCTTACAGCAATGGCATCAACACGGAACTTAAAATAAAATTAAAAATTTTTTTTGAAATTAAAAAAAACCTGTTCATTTAAAATTGCCTTTACAAGATTATATGGATTTGAAGAATGGCGATAAAATATTCCTGCAAAAGTAAAATGCCAAGATTCAACAGAATTTGTAGCTCGAGGCATTTGGTCATAAGTTATATCTTTGCTGTTCCACATTGACAAAGGAAATCGTGGGGGCATAAAATCTTTTCCAATCCAATTTCTTTCCATATAATTAATAAAAGCAACATGTGGACCTTCCGAATCTCCATTCCCAAAGATTTCAAGAAACCTCTGGGCCAATTGATTGAAAAAAGCGGGGACATTTGCTAAAATTAAAAATGATTTTATATAAAGGCAACGTAAATCTAGCGATAGAAAAAACACGAAATTTTAATTTGATCGATTTTTTTAGATTCATCAGTGATTCTGACACATACCTGTATCAACAAAAGTAAGTGCAACAAACATTTTCAAATAATTATGTAGTCCTTCAATTTCTGCTTTTCCCCAACCAAGTTCTTGAATTTTCCGCCATAATGCTTGCTAAAAATATTTTTTTCTAAATTTAAAGAAAAAAACCTTAAATTGAAAGAAACATCCGTGAATTGTCGCAAAAGGTAAAGCTGTTTGTAATGCTTGTTCCTCAGCCTTTTCAAAATCAAAAATAACAGTATGGGGCCTATAACCAGGACTCATTTCATCAATTTTTGCTATTAAAAGTTCTAATGCCCTAAGGTAAGATTCTGTTGTTTTTGAAGGAAGTAAAATATAAACAAAGGGAAGAACTACTGGTTGATAAAATTGGCCAGAGATAATCTAAAAAAGAGCTAATGAAGAGATAAATAGATTAAAAAATACCCAAAGTTGATAAAATAATTTTTGATCATTTTTGAAAGTTCCATCACAAAGCCAAACATCGGAGGTTGAAAGACGTGCAACATCTGTAGGTGAAGCAAAAATAATTATTCTATTGGAATCATCTGCTCCAGTATCAACCAAAATAAAATCTTCACTAATATTAGTTTTTGTTCTTCTCAAATTTTCAGGAATGTCAATTTCTGATAAAAAACGGGGGACAGGTTGTCCATCAGCATAACGTTTTCTTCCAACAGTTTTTTCTAAATTAACCAATTTTGGAAGTTCTGCCTGAAATAATTATTTTAATATAAAAAATTTAAAAAAGAAAAACCTTTGCTTGATCGCTAATTCCAGCTATCTGATTATTTACAATTTCCCGAGGAGAAAGTGTTGTAGTAACTGCTGCCTGAACTATACGATCTTTTATCTTGGCTAATTCGACACGATTTGGTGACCTTTCATGGTCATGTTGTTTAGTAACAGTAACCATATTGTCTGAATCAGTTACAGCAAATCCATTACATTTATGACTTCTCCAAAATTCACATCTCCAATAACGTTTGTTGTCTGGCCCATTTTTGCATTTAACATAAATAAATCCATCATAAATTAATTTTTCTCCATTTTTGTTAGATTTTACAAATGATGCCATTCTTGTGATTAGTTGAAGAAAAAATACAACAAATCTACCCACCCAATTAATTAAAACAACAAAAAAAATCAAAAAGATAAGAACAAATAAAAACAAAAATTGAGACTCAAATGACACAATTTTTACTCAATCTAACCGTCTAACATTTTTCTTATCATTCTATTTAATTTCTCTCGTGATCTGTCGTCTCTCTTAGTTGTGCACTATTTCGTTTTTCTTGTTCATTTAATCAAAATTTCGAAATACAAATTAAAATTTTAAAATTAATTAAAACAAGTTTTAAAAATTGTTTCTTTGTTTAATATTTTCTTTGAATTGTACTCTTTTTTTACTTTTAAATAAAAAATAAAAATTAAATAAAATAGCAAAAACACGATTATATTGAATATATATTGAATATTACTTAAAAAATAAATGTAAAAATAATTACACAATTTATTCACTTCTTTTATTTTAGTAGACTTTCTTATCATTTTTCTTTTAAATATTGATTATAATTAACAAAAATATATTTTTATTTGTATCTTAATTTTTAAATATTTTTTCAGACAAATTTATTTTTTTAACACAAATTATTTATTAACATTTTTAAATAAAATGGTAGAAGAGAATTTTTTGACAACGCTGAAAATTTTGACTATTGGTAAAAATTTTTTTATTAAAATAAATTTAAATAAAATTTTATTTTTTAGGTGAAAGTGGTGTAGGCAAATCGAGGTATTTTAATTTAATTAAAAATTGTTTTAATTATTTTTAGTTTAATTTCTCGTTTTGTGGACGACAAATTTGACCCAGAAATGGCTGCAACAATTGGAGTGGATTTTCGCATTCGGACAATTACTATTGACGATAAACTTGTTAAATTAGCAATTTGGGATACTGCTGGACAGGAACGCTTTCGGACATTGACTCCGAGCTATTATAGAGGAGGTTTTTGATTTTTTAGGAATTTTAATTAATCTTTTAATCCCTCCATTACTTTAAAGTTTGTATTATCCACTTTAGTTTCTAGTTCTGGCCCACAAAATTTTTTCTATAACCAAACATTTAACCTGCAAACAAACTTTTTTCCTGTTTTTCTAAATTTCTTCAATTTTAAGGTCAAGGTATTATTTTGGTTTATGATGTGTCTAGCCGAGCGTCTTTTGAAAGTCTCGAACATTGGCTCTTAGAAGTTGACACTTATTGCACACGGGCAGATGCTATTAAAATGCTTGTTGGAAATAAAATTGACGAGGTTTGCTTTTAATTTTTAAAATAATTTTATTAAAATTTAAAAAGGATGTTCGTGTTGTAACCAGAGATGAAGGTGCTCAATTTGCTCGTCGGCACAGAATGCTGTTTATTGAGGCAAGTGCTAAGACTCGTGAGGGTGTCCAATGTGCTTTTGAAGAGCTTGTTCAAAAGGTATTTAATTAGAGTTAGGGTTGTCGGCCCAGTTCGGTTCGATAAAAATGAGACCTGAAAAAATAGATTAGACTCCTCTAATTTAGATTATTTTTATTCCAGTTTTTAATTCGGTTACATTTTGAAATTCTAAAAAAATATTTGAAGAAAATTTAAAATATTGAGAAATTAATTTGCAGGGCTATTGTTTTTTTTTGCTCAAAAAATATTTTTTATTTTTAATATAAACATTTAAATTTTCATTTATTTTTCTTTTTCTTTATTTACAAAGCTGAAAGTAATCTTTTTTCAATTTCAGATTCTTCAATCACCCGGACTTTGGGAATCTAATTTGGCAATGCGGAGGCGACTTCAATTGAAAAATGGGGATTACGAGTCGAGCGGCTGGTGTGGGTGCTAGTAAATATTTTTTTAAAAATATTAATTCGGTTTTTCAATAAATAAATACTTCCTCTGCCTTTGCATGATAAAAATTATATTTTATTATAATTTTGCTAATTTTCCTTTGAACTTTATTTCAAATTTTTAGAATTTAAAAAAAAGTTTTTGTTTTTAAAAATAGAAAATAGGAAAATTAGTTTTTATTTTGTACAAAAATTTGCCTGAAAATTCAGCTTTGAAATTTTCTCTGTTCCTCTTCTCCAACTAATTCAATTTAGCAACGACATTTATTTTAAAAATTAAGGATCTGCAAATTTTTATTTTCTGATAAAATATTGAAAATAAATTTTTTCATAATTTTTGTGAAAACCAACTTAAATAGATAAAAATTCAGATCCATAATTAAAAAATATTAAAAAATAAAATTAACATATAAATATATGTATCTTTGTATTCTTATGATTCTATATTAAAATTGACTCAATTATATTTTAAATATTTTTAAATAAATCTCGTCAGTTTAAAGAATTTATAAATTAGGAAAAATAATTTTTTTATTTTCCAAAAAAATTTTTTTGGAAAGCAGATTTAATTTTATTTCTGAAAAATTGCTATTGATGGTTCAACAATTTTTTTTATTATTTTCTTGTATTGTTTGAATGAATAACCAAATAATGGGCGACAATAATGATGATGACCTTTATTTATTTATTATTACACACATCCGCCAATCACTTGCTTCCATAAATTTATATACTTTTTGAGTAAAAAATTGAAATAAATTACTCTGAGATTTTATTAAAATTTTCTCTTCACGACCCTTAGTTTTCTTCCTCAAGACAATAACATTTTATTTTTAACATCCCATTATAGAACTACAAATATCTGGATTATCTTGTTATTGGATTAATAATTGAAAACATGCCGGATCCCTCACAGAATTACCTAAATTTTAACTAGACTCCTCTACTCTCCCTCCTTTCTCTATTCCCTTCCCTTCACCACCGTTGCACAGCCACACTTTAATTAATACCTCATCAACTAATAAATAATAATAATCCTTCGAGGTGCTCATTAAATGCAAGGGCATTTCCTCCTTTCCTTCCCTCATTGTAATCCTTTCAATATCCATCAAGATTCCCTTCTCTATTGTATTATTTTAATGTTAATCTGAACAATAGGAAGAAAAGAGGGAAAAAGTCATTTTCTAACAAGAGAGAAAATTTAAACAAAAAAACTTTTGCAGAAAATGTTTGTGTGCCTTTTTATTAAAATAAAAAATTGGCAGTCATTTTATTAATTACAAGTTGACAATTTTGTGGTTTTCCTTTAAAAGCTCGGTAATGTTAAAATATATCGAATTTATATTGACTTCACGAGCTAAGTATCGTCGGGAATTCATGATTTTTGGGAATCGTGAATCGGGTCAGCGCGATCACTGCTATGTATATTCAGAATTTTGTAAATTAAAAAAAAAATTTTTTTTTCTTTTTGTCTCCAAATATTGCGATTTTCCGACGAAAACAAAAATTCTAAAAAAAGATTATTTCCAATTCTCTTTTTTAAGTAAAAATATGTGTAATAAAAAATGTTTTTTTATTTCCAAATTCTCAATACCATATGTAAAATGATGGTGGCTTTATTCAAATAAAATACAAAAATACAGTGAGGTGCATATGTTTATGCCGCTTGTATAAAACATCATAAAATTTTACAGGATCGATCAATTTAGACATTCTTGGTCTTAAAAAATAGCTTAAACGATAAATCAGTTTACATCTTTCGGCATTTTCTTCAAATTCGACTTTTCGACCCCTTTTAGACTGGTCGAACAAACAGCCCATTTGCTGGATCTTTGGAAAAATTTTCTAGAATCTTGCTAATTTTATATATGATACTCCGTAAAATTCTGAACAAAATGCAAAAAACCGCATTCGAAATGCTTTGGCCCGAACCGAGATATGATTTTTTGAAAATCGAAAAAACAGCTGAAAACATCAAAAACTCGAAAAATAGCTGTTTTTTTCGATTTTCAAAAAATCATATCTCGGTTCGGGCCAAAGCATTTCGAATGCGGTTTTTTGCATTTTGTTCAGAATTTTACGGAGTATCATATATAAAATTAGCAAGATTCTAGAAAATTTTTCCAAAGATCCAGCAAATGGGCTGTTTGTTCGACCAGTCTAAAAGGGGTCGAAAAGTCGAATTTGAAGAAAATGCCGAAAGATGTAAACTGATTTATCGTTTAAGCTATTTTTTAAGACCAAGAATGTCTAAATTGATCGATCCTGTAAAATTTTATAATGTTTTATACAAGCGGCATAAACATATGCACCTCACTGTAATAATGCAAGTATTTATTTGTGTCTCCCTTCCTTTAAATAATGGGAAAATAATTAGCCAATTTTCTTATGGACGAAAAGAATGGAGGGAGGGGGGGGTTTAGGTTTTTATGTCCTTTTTATTTTTCTGTGATTTTTAGGAACAAGGGGGAACCATTGCAGTGTGAAAATGAAAAGGAAAGAAATATTTTGGGGAGGCTTTAATAGAAACGAAAGAATATTTTGGCAATTTTAAACACCTTTATTTTTCTATTCTTTAACCCTCCCTACAAATTTTCTTTTTTTTGTTAAAATATGAAAATTGGTTTGGTTATTATTTGGTTATTATTATTAAACAACAAATAAAAACCGCCAAAAACCTCCAACAGTGTGTTGATTGCCCTTCAGCATAGATTTAAACTAAATAAAAACTTATTTTTTGTTTGTAAAAAAAGAGAAGAACATTAAATAAATTACCCCATAAATCCTCTAAAATAATTTATTTATTTTTTTTTAATTTAATTATCCTGAAACTAAAAACTCAAAATTTTGTTTGTTATTAAAAGCCTCCCTCCTATACTTGACCCTTCTTTTTACATTTTCTCTCATTCCCTTTTGCCAATTACACAACTCCAAGTAATATTATTTAATAATAAATATTTTTTCTTTTTGATTTTAAAATTAAAATCTTTTTTTAAATTTAAAAACAATTTGTATATTAAAAAATAAATATTTATTTTTAAATATTAAATTAAATACCGTATTTCCTATATTAGAGCCCCACCCTCTGTTAGAGCCCCACCCTTTAATACAGCCCCACTTTGGAGGATAGTTGAAAAATAGAGCCCCACCCTCAATTAGAGCCCCACCCCAAATACAGCCCCGCCTAAAATATATTGGAGGAAAAAATATCCCAGTAACTTTTAAGATATATTGAGAGAGTTAAGGAAATAAAGAAGGATATCGATGATATCGTGATCATGAAGGAGGAGGGATCATGGCGATATACGGATGAAAAGGAGGAGATAACCCCAATATCCGTCCAAATACTCTTATATCACCTATATTCCTTCAACTACCTCCTATTACCTCCAAAATCGAATCATTGTACGAAGGGTTGCATTTGTGTTAGGCACTTGACGATAATTCGCGAGATTATTAGAGATCTATTAGTGATCTCGCTTATAATCACTGATCGATGTCAAATACGCCCTAATATAATCTGTCCAAATCTACCCATATTTAATAATTAATCTTACTCTCATTGAACTATTGAACTATTATTTTGTTATTCATTGCTTAAAAAGTTTCATTTTTTTTGAAAAATCGAAAAATATTGATTTTTTTCGATATTTTGCGGATTTATCACTTAAACTTCTTGCTTATCTCTAGTTGCAATGGATAATTAATGAATGGGATTTTATCTCAAAAGAGGGTTGAAAAATAGAGCCCCACCCTCGATTAGAGCCCCACCCTCTAATACAGCCCCACCTTGGCGGATAGTTGAAAAATAGAGCCCCATGGGGCTCTATTATAGGAAATACGGTATATACATATTTATTCCTGTGTTTGTCTATACTTCCTCCCTTATTTTCTTGATATCCTCAACCAAAAATATTTCCCCAAATTACCAGTAGTATGCCATAAATTTCATTGTTTGCCCTTTAAATGAATGACTGATGAAGCAGACCCTTTTAAAGGCAGGTGAGCTAACACATATTGTAAATTATAAATTTATTTTCATATTTATTTTGGCTTTTATTTAAATGAAAGCCTCCCGACTTTTTAAAAAATTATTTTTCTTTTTTTTCTGATTTTTCAGAATTTTTAGTTAATTAAATATTCTGATTTAATTTATTAACAAAATTATTTCAACAACAATAATGACACAGAAAAATAAAATATTATTAAATATTATTTCCTCTTCATGAAAAAATTTAAAATAAAATCTTTTATTTTTCCATTTCCAACATTATTAATATTTTTATATAATTTTTGTTCTTCCCTACAACAATCACAAAAGTTTTGCCCAATTTGGGTTAATACAAGAATTCAACAATGTGTTCAGCCTGTAGCAGATTATGCTAAAGCAGTTAACAATCAACAAAAAAATGAGAAAGAAAATTCTGAAAATTATTTGGATTTAAATAAAAAAAATAAAAATAATTATGAAAAAATTCAGGGAATTCAGTGGCCAACAAAAGTTATTGGAGGGAAAATATTTCAAGAATTGTGTCTGTTAATTAGGCATTTTGAACGTTGTGTGAGTGGTTATAGAACTAAATGTAGAAGGCATATAACTGTTAGCTTAATTGAAGCATCTTATGGATATCTGTGTAATGAGGGTTATGAAAGTATTTTAAATTTTTGTTTTTTTATTTTTCTGATCCTTTTAAAAATAAAAACCAGAATTAATTCATAGGGAGGGAAGGGAGGCAATATCCTGCCATTTGAGAGAGAGGGACAATAGTGGGGCAACAGAGAGACAACAGCAGTGCTTCGAAGCTCGTACCAAAATTCGTACTCGTACCTCGTACTCGTACCTGGTACGAAGTACGAGTACGAGCAAAAAATAGGGGTGGTACGAGGTACGAGGCCAAAAAAAGAGGTGGTACGAAGTACGAGTACGAGCAAATTTGAAATTTCGAAGCACTGGACAACAGTGCTATTTGCCGGAATACTGTCGCCAATACACGTTATTTTCGAGAAAATCTTTTTACTATGTATAATTGGTAGAATTGGCTTGCCATCTGCCAGATATTTTTTTCTGGCAACCTTTACTTGAAATTTGTGATGGCAAATGGCGGTATTGGAATACCCCTTTTAAATTGTTTTTGCCTTCAACAAATATTTAAATTAATTTTCAGTTTTTGTTGGGTCTGCAGAATGTTTAATGGAATTAGATCAACAACCTAATGTTAAAGGATGTCATGATAAAACACTTTTAGAAATTGAGGAAGCAAATAATGAACAAAATGGGACTGTTGTAAATAGATTAGAGAGAATGTGCAAGTAAAAAATGTTATTTAAATTTAAAAATATTTTGTATTTTTAGTGCTTTAAATTATTTTTCTGAATGTGTTCGCCCTCCAATTAGGCAAAGATGTGGAAATGAAGCTTGGAATGTTATATTTCGAGTATTGAAAGATACTTCTAGGTTGTTAAAAATTAAAAAATAAATTTAAAAATAAATTTAATTTTTTTCAGAATTTTAATGCCAATGTGCAACTTTGATAATTATTATAGATCGGGAGAGGAGGAAGAGGAAGAAAATAATAATGATTATAATAATAATATATTAATTACTTCGACAATTAAAAAAGAATTAATTAAAAATTATTTAATAAATTCTGAAGAAAATAAACAAAATCAGCAATGGAAGGTTATTGAAGAAAATGAAGGGGAGGAAGAAATTGAAGAGAAGGAGGAGGAGAAGGAAGAGGAAGTGAAAGGGAAAGGGAATGATGAAAATAAAATAAAAAATAATGAAGAAGATTGGCAACAATGGAAAAGAAAAATGATAGAGAACGATGAGAATGAAGAAGAAAAGGGGGAAGAAGGGGAAGAGGAGGAAGAAATCAAAAATGAAGAAAATAGAGAAGAAGAGGAGGGGGAGGAAGTGGGAGAAGAAGAAAACAATTTTGGATTTGATTTTTTCTCACATAAAATTCATTATAATAATGAAGAAGAAAGGCAAAGTCGTTTAACTAGTAGTGGAAATATTAAATTAGTAAATAATGCAAATATTATTTTTATTTTTTTAATTTTATTTTGTTTTGTAATAAATTAATAATTATTTAAATAATTATTTTTTGAATTTGTTATAAGGAAAAAATTCGTGCTGTTTTTTAATTTTAAAAATAATTAACACACAGGGCTTCGATCTCGAATTTTTAAAAATCCACATTTCTGAGTTAAAAAATCCGCAAAAAACGAAGCCCTGATTTAACAAAAACAAACTGTTGGTACTAAAAAATCCAAAAATTAATTTAAATATTTATTGAATATTTTGGGGATAAAAAAATAATTTAGGGGAAAAAAGACAGAAATCAAACAAAAATATGTATATTTAAATTAATTTAAATTAAATTCTTTTAATTTTTAATATTTTCCTTTCAACAGCACTTTTTGTTGTTTTCCAAACTTGTTGACAATTAAAAATTCCTTGTGTTTCTATTAATGATTGAAAGGCAGGAATACTTCCACTTAAACCAAAATAATAATTTTTGGCTGCCAAATAACTTTAAAAAACAAATAATTTTTAATTAAAAAATCCAAACATTTCCCCTTCATTATTTAATAATTTATTCATTATTTCAAGTAAATCCAAATAATTTTCTTCATTATAAATAGTCTCTGATGTGAGAATTATATCAAATCTATAAAAAAAAAATAATTTTTTAAATTACCGTATTGTCCCTAATAGAAGCCCTGGGCGTCTATTTTTCAGTAACCCTCATTAGGGTAGGGGGCTCAGTCTGGTCCGAAAGATCGAGTCGGGCATCTAATTTTGGTCCAAAAAAGACTCGGTCGGGCAGGTTAGTTAAGAATGAGGCCCGAAAAAAATGACTCGAACGTCAGCCCGGCTCGAAAACCCAACCCTAACCCTCATTAAGAGGGTTTCTGATAGGGTTTAGACTTCTATTGGAGACTGGCTTCTATTAGAGACAATACAGTAATTTTTATTATTTTTACTTTTTAAATCCTTCCAATTCTAAACAATTTGCCCAATCACATTTTACAAAAGAACATTTTGATAAATCAATTCCGTTCAATTGAAAATTAATTTTTGTGTTAGCCTCCAAAACATAATCATTCTGAAATTGTTTTTTTCTAAATTTATATTTTTTAGCTTCGATTAAAAGTTTAAAATTTTCTCAGAAATTAATGGTAATTTTGAACGTGACAGACCCCCTTTTTTCCTCCCCATTTTTCACCCTATATTTTTTAAAAATGGTCAGACTTTTTCCTTTCTTCCATCCAATTTGCCTTTCTAATTTTTGCCTGCAATCAAACAAAAAGGATTATAAAAAGGAGGATTATTTTTTGGTATTTAACAAGTATGAGTTTTGCGAAAATTCATTTTCTCAATTAAAAAATGGAACAACTTAGGAATTTCAAGCCTTTTGATTTACATGAAAAATTACGTTTAAGCGATTATGATTTCGATGCATGGCTCGAAGAGCTTGGCATCATGTTTCGAAGCTGGCAACAACACTGGAACGTATAAAAGTTATCTCCCAGAATTTCTTTGGCGAAAAAGTTTTGGTGATATTGAAAATGTTTTTTATAATTTTTGGCATCATGTTTCGATTTTTATCCTTGCGAAAGAACTGAATAAAAGAATAATCCTTTTTGATTTGTATAAAAAATATAGGAAAAAATTGGGGAAAAAAACGGGAAATAAAATATAAAAAATAATCCTTTTTGCAGGCAAAAATTAGAAAGGCAAATTGGATGGAAGAAAGGAAAAAGTCTGACCATTTTTAAAAAATATAGGGTGAAAAATGGGGAAGAAAAAAGGGGGTCTGTCACGTTCAAAATTACCAAATTAATTTTAAAAAATTTTGGGATCAAATATCATTAATTAAAAAAAATATTTTAAAATTCACACAAAATCTTGTAATGTCAAAGACGCTGCCCCATTTAAAGCAGCAACAATCGAAGGCAATCCAGCACCACAACCAAGCTAATTATTTATTTAAATTTTATTTTTTTTCTCTCAAAAAAACCTCAAGAACATTAAATCCTTCAAAAGACATTGAATCAATAAAATAACTTAAATCTAAAGAACATTCCCAAATTTTAAGTCCTCCTTTTAAAAAGAAAATTCAAAAAAAAATTTTTTTTAAAGAAAAACCTTCATAAACTTTATTTTCCAAATCTGTTAAATTATTTAATTTTATTTTGTTTGAAATTAATTTATTTTCTATAGATTCTTTTGTTGAATAATAAATTTTACGTCCACTTTTTAATTTTAGAATATTTGTTGCCATTTTTATTATTTTCTCTATTTTAAAGTTAAAATAAAGGAATTGGTCGTATCTGAAAATAATGCTGCAATCATATTTTTTCCTTATTCTTAAAAATGGTTAATTTTCTCATATTTTTCTCTCTATTTCTGATTTGTGCCTTAAGACTATAAGCGCAATAGATTATTTTTCTTCAATTTTGTGAGCATTTACTTTTTTTTCTGTCCGATGTGTGTGCATGTTTGTCTGTCCGAGTTCGTCCGTTTGCTGTGTCCGTCCGTGTTTTGCTGTCAGTCCGAGTTCGTCCGTGTTTTGTCAAAACTGTCCGAGTTCGTCCGTGTTTTGCTGTCCATCCGAGTCCGTCCGTGTTTCCTGTCCGAATCCGTCAGTGTTTTGTCTGCCCGTGTTCGTCCGTGTTTTGCTGTCCATCCGAGTCCGTCCGTGTTTCCTGTCCGAATCCGTCAGTGTTTTGTCTGTCCATGTTTTACAACACAAAAATGTAATATTTTTTTATTTTTTGCTTTTAATATTTTCTCTATAATCACATTTGAACATGCCACAGGGAAATTCATTGGAAGTGAACGAGTGAAAAAGTCTGACCTTTCTGTACAAAATAAGGAAAAATATGGAAAGGAAAAAATGAAGGAAAAAATATGATTGCAGCATTATTTTCAGATACGGCCAAGGAATTTTTGGAATTATTTTTTCGGTAGTATTTTCTTAAGCAAAATAAAAATTTAAGTAAAACTCTGAATTTAGGCAGGGTAAAGTCCGCATTTGCCAAGTTGGATTTCTTCAACAATCACAGAATTCTTATTTTTAGTGCCAAAAGGGAAAAATGGGAAAAACATTTCTGCGAATATTAAAAGACATTTTGCCAACACTTTCTAAAATACCGCAAAATACACGCAGATTTTTTTAAAAACAAATGGAAATGGGAAATGAGGTTTTTGAAGCATTTACTTTATAGAGAAATATGTTCATAAATTATGTATGATTTAAATAAAATAATGGCTCTAGTATAGAACATGCATCCCATGAGCTTTTAAGTGTCCCATGAAATAGTAAAAGCGTGCCAAAATAGTATATGCATTCTATGAGAGTCCCAGAAATAGTATAAAAGTTCAGCACAGGTTTGAAGCCTATACGGGATTTTTTAAATTATTCCCATAAATACCCATCGGCGCTGAACTAGAGCCAAAATAATGAAAAAATGTAAATTATCAGAAAAATAAAAGTATCTGTTTGTTGTAATGAAAGCATCTTTAAAATTAAAAAAAAATGTTTAACTTTTCTTATATCTCATCAATATCTTGAATTACTTGGTTGTTGTTGATTTAAAAAATATAAAAATTTACAAAATAATTAAAGTGGATATCTTTACATATTTTAGGGTTTTTTACAAATCTTTTATAAAAAAACTTCTTTTTTTACATCTCCAAACATTCCTTAACATTTCCCCCCATACAAAAATTTCTTTACTTCCTCAATATTTTCATACAAAATTCCCTTTACTTCATTTGGGTTTGTTTCCTCAAAATTACAATTTGCAAAATACTCTATCGAATCTCTAATTTCTTTATCCACTAATTTACAGTCTAATTTAGTACTTCTTTTGTCACGATTTAATTCTTCTTTGTGGGATATAACTTTAAAAAAACCGTAAATGCTCTAATAATTAAGCCCGACTCTATATATTAGAAGCTCGAATCTTTAATATAAGCTCGCCAGGGGAACTCATTGAAAACTACCTTCTAATATACTCTAATAGAAGCCCACCCAAAATTTTTACGCGAAGTTCCCAGTCTTTAATAAAAGCCCATCTCTAATATAAGCCCCCAAATATTGAAAAATATAAGCCCTTATTAGAGCATTTATGATATTTTAAATATTTTTCTGATATTTTTTATAATTTTATTTTAGTTTTAATTATTAAATATTCTGATTTTTTTTACATTTCTGAGTAGCAATTATTTCATCATTCCATTCACTATCAAACTATTAAAATAAATACAATTATTTATATTTAAAAAAATATTTATGTATTTTTACCTTATCTTTGTTAATTATATCAGCAGATAATTGCATAACTTCAAGAAGAAATGCAATAAAAGAAAATATAACTTTCTTTTTATTTGCCTTTACTTTATCCCACCATTTAAATATAAATGGCTGTTTTTCATAATTTTCTTGTAATTGTTTTATTATCCTTTCAGTTTGTTTTTTTGTTAGTCTATCTACAAAAATAATGGTTCTAGTCTAGTTTAGTAGTCCAATGAAAGTTTAATTAGTCCATTAAAAGTTTATGTCCGATAAAAATTTATAAAAAAAACTTTATATTTTTGATTTTTTTTCTATTGGAACTGGGAAGTCTAAAGTATTTTTTGTTGATAAACGACATTGCTTCATAAGTAATTGGAGCAGGAATTTTTTTCAAAAGTGGCGGAACATAACCTCCTCCACCGAATAGAGAATTTCCAAAAAGTGGACTTCGTAGTCTTCTCAATTAAGAATTAATGGAGGTAGAATGGATTTCTGACGGCGAATGCCGGGAGGTGAATGCCTACATGTTTTTCATACATAGAAGGATGTCACGTGTTATCCGAAACCGATCTGAAAAAGTACGGAGCCGGAGACACACAAAATCTCACTACCAAGCATTATTTGAACGGATAAAATTTTTATCGGACTTACAAACTTTCACGAGGCTTAAACTCTTTATTGGACTAAAAAACTAGACCAAAGCCAAAATAGATTATTTTTTAAATTTTAATTTTAAATTTACTTTTAAATTTTTCTGCAATCATTCTCTGATTTACAACATAAGCCATATTTCTTTTAGATGTTTCTCCATTATTTTCTTTTTCAATTTCTTGAGGTTCTAAACTTCCTATTTTTTCTAACTTCGCAAATGAATTTATTTTATTTAATTTTCCATTTTGTTTTTTAGGTTTTAAATTGTCTAAAAAATATTTAAATTTATTAAAAAAAAATTATTTTTTAAATTTTGGAATGTCAAAATTTGTTAAAAAAATTTTTTTATTTTAAAAAGAAATTATAAATTTATTTAAATAAAGGAAGGTAAAATAATTAAAAATTAATTTTAAAAAATAAAAATAAATATTTACTTATAAATTTTTGTACATTTTCTCTTTTATTTACTAATTGGCAAAAATTCATATTTTCTCCTCCAACTTTGCCTTTTTTAGGCTCTAAATTATTTATAGTTTTAATATCTTCTTCTTTTGATTTAATTATTTCTTCTTAAAATTAAAAATTAATTTTTTTAAATTAAATTAAAAAAACTTTTTTGTTTAAGAGCGTTAACTGCATTAATTTTATTTGTTGATTTTTTCCATTTTCTTCTAGTTACTTCCTTCCAATCACCTTCTTCTTTTGGATTTTCTTTATTTAAAAAAAGAATTATATTTTTTTATTTTATTTAAAGGATTTCAAAGAATTTTAAAAATCAGAAAAGAATTTGTGTTTTTTTAATTTTAGAAATTTTCTTAAAATTTAAAAAATCCAAAAGATGGGAGAATTTAAACAAAATAAAAAAAATAATTTTAAATATATTTATTTTATTTAAAATTAATTATCTTCTTTTTCATTTTCCAATTTTTCATTCGTTTCATTTATCAACAAATTTTTTCCTTTTTCTTCATTTTTCCTTGTATTTTCTAAATTTTAATTTAAATAATTATTAAATTAAAAATAAATAAATATAATTTTTAATTTTAATTAAAATTTATTTTAAATTAATTCGTCTTTTAAATAAAATTTTATTTTTTATTTTTAATTATCGAAATTAAATTAAAAATTAATTTATTTATAAATTAATTTTTTTCCTCGATTTAGTTAATTTATAAAAAAAATATTTATTTAAATAACCTCCATTGCACCAATTTATTTTTAAAATAAAAATTAATAAAAATAAAAGGTCAATTCTCATAATTCTCCCAAATTTGGAGAATTAAAATTCTAATTTTTAAAAAATAATTTTTTAATAAATTAATTTAACAAAGGAAAAATATAAAAATTTAAAATGGAGATAAAATTTAACAATGAAAAAAATTAAAAAAAATTGATTTAAAAATATTTATTGCCAATAATGAAGGGAAAATTTAATAGAGAGAAAATTTAAATTATTGATTATAGAAATATTGATATTTTAAATAAATTAAATTTAAAATTAAAATTAAATATTTAAATTTAATCTTGAAAGACGATCTGTTGCCGGACTGTTGATGAGCGAGCACTGGTTGCGGACAGTAGACGAGCACTGGTTGCCGGACTGTTGACGAGCACTAGTTGCCGGACAGTTGTTGAGCACTAGTTGCCGGACGGTTGACGAGCACTGGGGACTAGACTGATGCTGAGACTAGCTTTTATATTACGCAACAAAGTCTGTTTCTTTTTTTTGTGAGAGGAACACTATAAAAACGCGATCATTTCTTCTCCCTTAACAACACAACTATCAATCTTCTATCATCATCTACAACAAATTCTCTTCATCTACGTTCGTCGACGTACCTGTAATGCGGAAGCGCTGCTGCAACTCTTCAGGCGTCAACGGGATGGCCTCGACATCGGCTCTGGTTTCGCGTGCTCTTCTTCTGCTCACGGTCGCTCTGTTGCTGCTCGAGTGCGTTGTCTGGTGCGACCTGGTTGGATTTGCTAAGCATGAAAGGAAGGGCAACAAGATCACAAAGCTGGTCACAGGCAAAGGGACTGATTGCGAAGTTGAACCGGGTCCTAACGCGGGCGATATGTAAGAACATTTATTTTTTAAAATAAATATTTTAAAAATTTTGTTTTTAATTTTTTACAGGATCATCAAGTACAAAAAGGGCCATAAACATGCGTTGGAAGGATGCTCCATTGATCTGCTCATGAATCCAGAAGGAATCCAGCTGGAATTCAACGTCACCGGGAATCTGATGGAATGCTTGACGGACGCTGTGGCTGATGGGAATACCGTTAAGGATGAGAGGGTCGGCGACGAGAATTTGTGAGTGAATTATCTCTGTTAAAGTTTACTGACCTGATGCAATTTTTCTTTAGGTTTCCGTTCACCTTCAGTCTGGGGGAAGATGGGTTCAAAAAGTTGGTGCAAGAAGGGCTTAAAACAAGTGCCCCCTCTGAGTGTCATACAAAATGTGTGAACGAACGTTTCGGAAAATGCCTGGTATCGACCGAGTTCGATGTTGCTTTTGGACGAAGGGGTGACATGATGCTCTACAACGTGCACATCCGTGAGTTTTAAATAATTATCATTGATCATTTAAATAAGCAATCATTGATTGTTAATCAAATTTATTTTTCTTAGTTGGTGAGCCGAGAATCTGGTACTGCGCTTCTGGAACAAATAAGGCCGAAAGCATCGCGTCTATCACAATCAACTTCGATCCAAAAACATATTCAGGATGGCGGGTGTCGTCTCCTCACGGTTGCGGAGGGAAGAACGCATTGGACTACGATCAGCATGAAAAATACTGCCACACTGAAAAGGTTCTTCGCAAGGCTGAGCAATGGGAGATCACAGACGAGGCGCATAAGAGCAGTACCTTCAATCATCTCTTCACGCTGAACATTCTGCCACTGAAGATTGTACCCAAGCATACGTCACATCGACAAAAAGTTGAACTTAACAACAAGCTTGATGGGTCCAAAGGTCCAAAGTGCGAGATGTCCCTCAGACTGGTAAAATTTATTTAATAAATTTAAAATATTTTGTTTACAAAATTTTTATTTATTTTAGAGTGGTAGCCGGTTCAAACAGCTTGGTGGTAGTACTCCTCCTGAGACAAATCCGACTGATGGAAAGATTGGTCCTGATGGAAGCACTGCTCCTGTTGAAACGACCACGTCTGGTCCATCTAGTGGAACTGAAGCTTCCGGCAGTAACATGGTTCTCATCATTGGCATCGTCATTGCCGTTGTAGTCCTGTGAGTTTTATATTTTTGATTTGGGTTATTTAACAAAATTACATTCAAAATAAAATTGTAGGCTTGCTGTAGTTGGTGGCCTTGTCTGGTTCTTCGTGCTCCGCGGAAAAGGTGAAGAAGAAGAGGGAATGGAAATGGGAATGACCGGTGCTGGAGGTACGAAGACGAAGACCAAAGTTGGTGGGACGACCGTTGGAGCGACCCAAGCAAAGACCGGCGGAATGACTACTGTTGGAGGGACGCAAGCCAAAACCGGTGGAGCGACAACTGCTGGCGGTGCTACATCGAAAGCTGCGGGGACAACGAAGGGAGGAGCGACATCGAAGGCTGGAGGGGCAACGTCGAAGAAGTAGAGAGGAGCGGGAGAGAAGAAGAGAGGTGAAGATAATTGTGATAGGATAATATATCTAAAATAATTCAACATTTACCTAAATTGTATCCCCATAATTATTTTCCTCTTCCCATTTCCCTCATATAATATATCTTCCTATATATTTGCGCGCATTGGGAGTATTATATGTACTACTACCCTATTTTGTATATATACCATATCTTGAAATGTATATTTGTATATTGTTTGTGCGCTCTATTATAATATATGTATGTTGTATGTATTGCTAAATAAATATTGTATTTGAATATGTGTTTTTGAATATTGTTTTAGGGAATAGGTTTAGAGGTGGTATTAGGATGGCTTTAAGATAGTGAAAGGTTTTTGGAAAACTGGGATGGGATGGGTTACCAGTTTGACATTTTCTTGATCTGAAACCCGATTTGAGAAATTTCCCAAAACTTTAATTTCTCCAAAACAAACTTTTTTCAAAGTAGTAGAAATTGCTTATGTCGATGATTTTTCCTCTGACATTTACATCTTATAAATTAAATCGTGTCATATCCGAAATATGATACGTCCTCCTAGCAAAAATAATATCCGAATGTATGCGCTTTCAAATGGATGCATGCATTAAAAATATTTTTTTAATCCAATTTCAACCTAAAAATTCCAAAATAATTATTTTTTGATAGATTAGGGTGTGATCTCTTTTATGATATAAGTTTTAAAAATTTTTGTTAATTAAATTTACTGTAAGCTCTCGCGTGAAGTACCCCATTTTTGAGTAGAATAAAAAATATTTTTTCTGTTATTGTTTAAATTAAAGCTTGTCTTGACTAAAGACCTTTTTGGAAGTTTTCCGAAATAAATCAAATCAACCGATACTCAAAATTAACTGTTATTGGATTTAATTTAGAGAAAATTTTCCGAATTTTTCTTCAAATTCTCTAAAAAATAACATATTATGGGATGTATACCCCGAAAACCCCAACATTTCTGTTGAGGAAATTTTGAAAAAATCTTTCGGGAATGGGGGTGGGGTTCAGAGTGCAACTCTAATTAAAAAGTTAAATTTAATAAAATACTTTTTATTGGAATAAAACAACACGTAAATATTTAATTTTTACACTTAATTTCTCAGTTAATTACCATTCCTCTAATAATTACCACCAACTCCTCGAGTAAAACAATAATTACCCAGAGTAATTATTCGAGAAAATGCAGTAGTAAAAATTTTCTTAAATATAATAGGGCTCTCTATTAAACCGGCAATGAGGAAGGTTTTTAAAAAATAGAATGGCTGCCATTATACATATAGTAAAAGGAAATACAATTATGGGTAGTGAAAATGCTAATGGTTAAAAGTCAATATAAATTCCCCAACATCGACCACGTTTTTAATCTTTGGCCATTAAGTCATTCATTCTCCCCTCTCAGACAATTAATAGCGCTTCATTGCCTTCCCTCTTCATTTACCTTCCATTGTCTAAATTTAAAATCCCTCCTGATTATGCCCTCACTCATTAAGCAAATCCAAGCAATTCCTCTCTTAAATTCTTTTTCTCTAAGTAAAATTTAATTTTAAAGGTAAAATTTTAAGGTAAAAATTTAAATTAATTTAAATAATTTAAAAGTTTGGCTAGAAAGTCCGATTTAAATATTTAAAGTTATATCGACTGAAGCAATTTCAGTTGGCTTTGTCCAAAACTGGGGCTTAATTTTAAAGCGCTAAAAGCCGAAGTTTTATCCACAAACTCAATTTTTATTGAGTAGAATTATAAGGTAGATTGTCTAGTGAGTCATTATTATTTTTATAATAAAGATTTCGGCTTTATCAGAATTACCTTTCATTCCTTTTATTTTTGATGTAAAAAGTTACTAGCTTTTAAGGATTCAAAGGAAGTGTTATGGAAATGCTTTTAATAGTAATTGTCAGCACTTTGCAAGTAGGGTTGCCAATTCTGGATATCCAGAAGCAAAAAAATAGTCCCGGAACTTTTGGTTGGATTTCTAAAAATTTGGCCTCCTGGCCTTCCAAAATTCACAAAAATTTTTCCTGCGGTGCTGAAAAAGGAGAATACTCACTTAGTATCCCCATAACGACGTTGCCCCACAAAAATTATCTTCACGGCCCTCCTGTTCCGGATATCCTATTATTTCCCAAGAATCTCTTTTGCAAGGTGTTGCCTTTTAATATCTAAATATTTTTTAGAAACTACCAAAATGCAACTTTCTTATTTATTTTTCCTTTTTCTTTTACAATATTTTATTATTCAAAATTCATTTTCTGTTATCGATATTTTAACACCAAAATGTCAACAATTAACTGAAAACGACAAAATTTCAATAATTCCAAACAATTACGAATTTATTTATTCAAAATTAAATAAAATTTTGAATGAAATTGAAAACAAAAGGAGAAAATTTATTGAAGTATCTTCTAACTTTCAATTACCTTATGAAATTGAAAAATTATTTTATAATTTTTATAAAAGTGAAATTTCTGAAAAAATTAAAAATTTGTTAGAAAATAAACAAAATAAATTAAATAAAAATGTGACATTTTATGAAGGAATTAAAAGTTTAAATATTTTAACAAAAATTGTAAATAAAGGAAATGATTTTGTAAAGAATGGTAAGAAATTTAAAAAAATAATTTTTTGGAATATAAAATAAAATTACTTATCCCTCCCCCCCCCCCCCTTCAATAAATAAATTAAATATATAAAAATAAAATATATAAATAATTTATCTTCAAAAAAAATCTCCTGGTGTTAAATTAAAAATAGTAAAAAAATTTATGCAAAAGATTGCCGAGAAAATGGCGGAAACTCTCAGTCTCAATTAATTCGTTAAGAGATTCTGAATGAGAGAATTATATAATATTAGAGAATAAATATTTGCTTTGAATATTCAATCTCCAGAAATTCCTCTTCTATTTAATAAATTATTTTTAAAAATGTATTGCACATAAAATAATACTTGGACATTATTTTTTTCAAATTTACTTTTAAAAAAATTTTTAAAAAATTAAAAAACTAGCTTGAAAAAAATTAGCTTTAAAAGGCTTTATTAAAAATTAGATTGAAATTTCTTTCTCAAATTAACAAAATATTCGTTAGGGCGTAAAATTTTTTTAAATTACTTTTAATTAATTTACTAATAAAGGTGAAATTGAAAAAAATTTAAAAGAAATATTAACATTTAATCCAAATATTATTAACGAAATTGATGAAATTAAAAAGGAAATTATTTATGGAATGCCAATTAATGAATTTAATTCAATTAAAAATTCATTAGAAAAAAATGATTTTTACCTGCAAAATAAACTTACAAATTTAACTGATCAAATAATTTTAAAAGAAAAATCAATTGAAAATTGTTTTAAATTTGTAAGTTTAAAAATATGTATATAAAGATAAGTAGGTATATCCATTGAAGCACAATTTATGCAGGACAATTAATCTTTAGTTAGATTTTTTGATATTATACACAAATAAGAGTGAGTTTCGTCAACTGGTAACAAAATCGAGACTTGTTATTATTTTTCAAATTTAAGTAATTGTATAGAGGTAGGGTGAGCTGAAGATTTGAAAATAAGTCTGTAAGTTCAAAAATCTGTGAGTTCAATTGTCTTATTTCGAAATATGTAGTCTTCCACACTTTTAAAGATATTTTAAATAAATACATAAAAATCTTTTAATTAATAGGAAATGAAGAAATTGCGTCCAGATTTTGAAAAAATTAAAAAATTAATTAAAGAAATAGAAAAAGATTCAAATATCAAAAATAAATTTTCATCATTAATTCAAAAAATAAAAGCATCTAATGAAATTGAGGAATTTATGATTAAAGCAACAAAAATAGATAATTTTTTAGATAATGATGAGGTGATTAAAGTAAATTCTAAGATAATAACCCTTTGTGAAATAATTCTCTTTAAAAAATTTTTTTATAAGAGAGTTAAATTAGCTAACAATTTTGGTAACATTTTCCATTTCTTTCACACCAAGGATAGGCTGGAGAGAACAAATCCCGTCTTGAATAAAGCTTGAAAAGAATAATCTCCATTCAATTTAGGAATTGAAGAGAGCATGTTACAATTTTACTTTTAAACTTTTATTCTTTCGAGCTTGTATTTTCTAATTAATTTTTAAATTAAAGAATCAAAATAAACAATCATTTACTCTAAACGAGTTATTATCCTCTTCTTCGCTAAATAATTCGAATAAAGATAAATTAACAATTATTCCACATAAAAGACAAAATTCTATTCATAAAATGTTTTCTTTGCCAAAAAATAAATCAAATTTAAAAGAAAAGGAAAATTTATTTGAATTAATTGAGAATTTTAATAAAAAATTATTTAATTCTATTGAAAAAATAAATAAAAATATTGTTGAAAATGAAAAGGTTTTTTAAATTTATTAAAATTTTATTCGACATCAACTAAATGCGGGGCAGGCCCCTCTAAACGGAAGTTTCGCGGTATCTCTTCTCGTTTACGAGATGATAGCAAAGTTCCAGGGATCGTTTCGACGGGAAGGAGCCTCCGCAGGGAAGAATGAATAATTTTTCCAGATGCGGCTGGCCAATAACCGTGAACAATGTGGAAGTTTCAGGTCAAATCAACTCCCCGGGAGCCTAATTTTTTTTTTGGTCTGAGTTTAAAAATTGTTATACAAACAATATTAAAATAAAT